TTCATGTAAGATATGAAGCCAGTACTTAATATCTGTTTATTTCTAAAACAGACACCTCTGTTTATCTTATTATTAAAATTTCTACACATTTGAAATTAAAATTCAAAAGTTAAAAAAAACGGAAGCTAATCTTGTGTGAAATTAGGTAAAGACTTGGTTCATACTAAATAAACACATAAGAGAACTGAATGTGTTTAATTTTTTGCTTTCACCACAGGGAATATATTGTATGAAGAGTATGGTTATTTATACTTTAAAAGGTTATTAGGAAAATGATGCATCTTACTAGTAAACTGTTCATACACATATTTTGATAAGAATATAAAGTACCAATTGTAATGGTAAATAATTTTAAGACACATAAAAACAGACATGAAACCTACTCATGTTTTACACCATAAATTATTCACATTATCTTTTCCCATGAACTATATAGAAGCTATCAGTTCCTGGAGACTCTTTTGAAGGTGTGGAAAAGCTCAAAAAGTATATGTCAGAAAGTCTCAAATTCTTAATCATAATTAATCATAGAAAAATAATCATAATTTTGGACTGGTGGCTTTAGATGTGTTACAGCCTACTAATAATGATTTGTTATTAAATTACATATTGTCACCATTATTTTTGGTGAGAGGAAAACCTGGTAGTTTTCATTTCTAATTTAATTTATTTCTTTGTGAAGGTAATACAGTTATATTTTGCAAATTTTTTTAAGGGTAGTGAAAATCTTCCTCCTCATTCACTATCTGCCTATCATCACCAAGCATTGACTTTTGTTGCATAAATACATCTACAAGATAAATCCCTAGCAGTAAAAGTTTTGGGTAAAAGGTTATATGCGTTTGACAGATATTGCCAAGTAACCTTCCACAAGAGGTACACCACTATGTACATTTCACTGGCCAGATAGAATAGTATATTTTCCACTGCCTTAGCAGCCTAGTACACTTCAGACTTAGATTTTTGTCAGTGCAATAGATGAAGTTTTCATATCTCTCATTCCAAGGTTTAGCATTTTATGTATGGTTAAAATCCATTTATGTTTTCTTTTTTGTGAACCGTCCTTAACTTTGATCCAGATTTTTCCTCTGGGTTGTTGGCCTTTTTAAAATTAATGTGCAGAACCCTTCTTATGTATTAGGAAAATTAGTCCTTTATCTGAGATGTCACAAATGTATTTTTATAATCTGTCATTTGTCCTTTAACTTTGCTTTTAAGATTTTTTTTTTGCCATGCAGAAGTTTCTCCTTTTTATATAGTCCAATCTACTAATATTTTTGTCTGTTAATTAAAGCTGTTTCACTTAAGGATAAAATTATGTTCTTTCTGTTGATGACTCTGGATGTGTATGCCTTCTTAAATTGAAAAAAGTTAATCCTGAATTTTGAAATTTTTTATCTTTCATTCACCAGATATTTATTGAAAGCCTATCATATGTAGGAACCTAGTTCATCCAGAAATCAAAGCTCAGTGAGGGAGGCCAATGTAAATAACAAATAGTATAAGACAAAGGCTATGATACCCAAAGCAGATGTCATAATTACCTGAAAACTACTTGTGCTCCATTTAATAATTTCAGATTATAAGCTATCATTTAATATTTCAGATATTAGTCAAATTTCACCCACCAAACTGTGTGCTATCAGGAATTCTTCTAGAATCAGGAAGGGATGGGTTTGAAGTATGAGAAGGAAACTAACAATCTTAGTTGTAAGTTATACAGATTTCTGTGTTGATATGTGAACTCTACTTGTGACCGGATACAAATAATTTCATACCTCATTTTAGAAATATTAAGAAAATATGATGGCTATTATTTCCATTAGCTTCATAATCTAGTGGCCCTTAGATGTTGCAAGTTGAAGCTATAAAATGTTTTTCACATGTGCTTGTGACTAGAAAATAATTCAATAAGAATAAACTGTTTGGTACCTTCCTTATAAATGCTGGAAAAGATAAATTGAAAGCATTATTAGATTATATATTATATACATGGAATTACATTTGTGATATCAACTATCACACACACACAGGCACGCACATTCAAACACTCACATACAAATACGTCAAGTATAATTCATTACCGAAGAGGTCATTATGGGTTAGAACTCACGAAATACAAATAGGCCTTTATCTAATATTTTGTTTACTAGACTTTATAGCAGGATACTAGTCAAACAAAGCAGATACAGCATCATGACTCATTATCCGTGGACAAGCATTGCATGCTACCTTCACACTTTGCTTCTTTTGTCTCCTGGCTGAGACAGGAAAAGGCTACCAGGGGTAAAAACCAAGGTGTGTGCAGATCACTTTAAATGGAAGCCACAGTCTCTATTTCCTTTTCATCTACACCATTTTAGTCATAGAGAGCCTAGGTTATATTCCAATTTACAGTTTTCCCAATGCAGGTACAGTTCTATACAACAAACAAGGCAGGCCTAACATTTTCCAGTCATCTTAAAGTTAGCATTCCAAGGAAACATTGCTTTGGAAGCCTAAGGTCAGTCCCAGGCTGGACTGCTTCCCAGGCTGAATGTTAACCCATTACTCGTGCATGCACATGCATTTTACACAATATATATAAATGCATTTATATACTTCAAAATACATATTCTTTATGTATAATCAGAGTGTATATAAAATTCCTTCTCCTATTAATTAACTGATAAGTTACTTTGTCCATTAATGTATTTCCTTTTTACCTCACAGCTCTTGGGTGCAATTAAAGAACAGTGATGTTCTTTAGTTAGCTCTTTTAAAAGTATCTAAAACAGTTGTTCCAAAGTATGGGGCATTATTTAGATGATGCACTAGTATATTAGTATGCCTATCTAGTTTACCTTTTAAGTGGTCCCTATGATATTGGTGAGAATATGGAGAAAAAGGAGACCCTCTTGCACTGTTGGTGGGGATGTAAACTGATGCAGCCACCCTGGAAAACAGTGTGGAGGTTCCTAAAAAAATTAACCATAGAATTACTTTATCATCCAGTAATTGCACTACTGGGTATTTAACCCCTAAAAAGTACAAAAATGTTAATTCAAAGGGATACATGCACCTCTGTGTTTATAGAAGCATTATTTACAATAGCCAAATTATGGAAGAGCCCATGTGTCCACTGACAGATGAATGGATAAAGAAGATGTGATATGTATGTATGCATACACACACACTGGAATGTTACTCAACATAAAAAAAGAATGAAATCTTGCCATTTGCAATTACATAGATGGAGCTGGAGAGTATGATGCTGAGCAAAATAAGTCAGATAAAGACAAATATCATATGATTTCACTCATATGTAGAATTTAAGAAACAAAACAAACAAGCACAGGAAAAAGAGAAAAACCAAGAAACAGACTTTGACTCTAGAGAAGAAACTGATGGTTACCAGAGGGGAGGGGCGTGGGGCGGTATGGGTGAAATAGATGATGTGGGTTAAGGAGGGCACTTGTGATGAGCACCGGGTGATGTATGGAAGTGCTGAATCACTATATTATACACCTGAAACTAATATTACACTGAATGTTAACTACACTGGAAATAAAACTTTTTTTAAAAAAATTTTAAAAATATTTTTAAATGTTTATATTTGAGAGAGAGAAACAGAGAGACAGTGCATAAGTGGGAGAGGGGCAGAGAGAGACGGACACAGAATCTGAAGCAGGGTTCAGGCTCTGAGCTGTCAGCACAGAGCCCGACACGGCGCTCAAACTCATGAGTCATGAGATCATGACCTGAGTCGAAGTCGGACACTTAATGAAGTGAGCTACTCAGGTGCCCCATAATTTTTAAATGTTATCTATAATAACATGATAGTATTTTATAATAGATGTATACTGTAACACTTGTGTTCATATTATAATATAATATTTATGTTATTAGAATAGTATTAATTCTATAATAAAGAGTTGCCATTTCAGGTTCACATTCTTTACTACTGTGTACCTGTTTTAGCCCTTGACAGTTTGAAGAAAAAGGCTTTACTCTTGCTTATCCTGGCTCCCTACTTACACCTGAGCTTAAACAATTATCACTAACATGTAAGGACTTTATTGTCATTCACTATCATGCAGGATATTGCTCTAAGCTACATACGTGGATTACTTTATTTAATCTGTATAGTGACCCCGTGAAGCAGGTAGTGTCATTGTCTGTATTCTGTAGAGAAGGCTTTGAGAGTTAAAGAAAACTTAGCTAAGGTGCTGGGAAAAAACTGGAATTAAGATTTAAACCCAGCAGCCTAACTCTAGACTTCACACTGTTGAACAGAGTATCATACTTCTTCCCAAGTTATTTCATGTTTCTCAACCCTAATGTCACCATCCATTTATAAAACTGGGATAATAATACTATCTATCATAGGATTGTTGGGTGAATTAAAGAAGGCAGTAAATGTGAAAATTCCAAAGATAGTGTTTGGCACATTATAATTCCCTAATAAAAATAGCCTATAATCATATTGATATATTCTACTCTTATCCAAATGTCTTTTTTCCTCTTTACATCCCCAGTCATCTTATTTTGTTTTACTTGGTTATACTTAGACCCATAAACTATAGCTTGCCCCCCCCATATTTCTTTGTACATAAAAGAATTCCCTTGTATAATTTTCCTTAACTTAAAAGAAAGTTAGAAGGAAATGCAGAGTATCTGGCATCTAATATGTTTAGTGAATGAGTGCTTCAGCGAAGAATAGACTTCTGTACTTTGACCAGTTGGAGTCAAGTATGCATTTGTGTAAGTGTTTTGAATTTCCTAAAGAAAAGGCTTACGGTCTTTAAAGCACAGGCTTTTGGGGACGATTATTAATAAATGATTTTAATGCATAAATTAAATCCTAACATGTAACTCATGCAAGTAATCAGTATCATCCTGTTAAAATACCAAAATCAGCAAATTTTATGACATTTTATATCAAATAACTTTAGAAGGTATTTATTTTTTACTTTTTAAAATTTAAAGCATAGGAATGTTTTATTCTTTTCTCCTTGCAGGTTTCCAGAGATTTGCCTGAGAAACAAGGAGAAATTGAGTCACACATAAAAGACCTTGGACAGCTTGAAGAGCAGTTAAATCATCTGCTTCTGTGGCTGTCTCCTATTAGGAATCAGTTGGAAATTTACAATCAGCCGAATCAAACAGGACCATTTGACATTAAGGTAGGGACTTTTTGCTTTAAATATTGTTTTCCAAAACAATGTCAATACCACTGATTGTTATCATAGTCATCATTGTTGTTATAATATAATAATAATAATAATAATTGAGTAGCACTTTTTGCTTTTCCTTACAGCATTTACTAGCAATAATATATTCATTAAACTCATAACACTAGATTGCCTTCATCATGTTTATTACTATGATCCACTTCCCATCCCTACCTTAATTGCACTTAATGTATGTTTGTAGACTCCTCATCTAAAACTTAAGTTGTTTAGGAGATTAGGAGATTAGGTGCCCTACCAAATAGTGTATAGGCTTTTTAGTAGACATTAGAAAACCTTCTTAGGCTCACTCCACTTTACCTCTGTATCCTTTTATTCTGCCAGTAACTTCCCTTTATACTCTAGCCACACCAAATTATATGTTATGTTTTGAGGCATGTGGTGTCATGCCATGTTCTGTGTTCCTGATCTTCTTTTCTCTCTTTCGTAAATGACTTCTTTCTCCTTATGTGGCATGATGATGCTTTCTGCCTTCATCAAGACTGAATTCAATGTCTTTGCTTCTTCAAAACTTTGTTCCATACATCAAGTAGAGTAAAAAACCCTTTTAGGATTTCTTACGAAGCTCTGTATCCATTTCCCAGAACCTTTGTACATTGATTTACACTTAAATTGTAGCTTAAGTACCCCATCAAAATCTTCTTTGAATGAGGAGGGCATCTTCTTACTTGACTCCCTTACCCCACTCTTTTCTCAACACCTTCATCTCAGGGCCCAGTGTATGTTAGGTACTTGTATTTTTGAATTGAAGAATAAAGGCCATCATCTTCTTTTAGCGTCTCTATACACATTGATTGTCCCTATATTTTCTCTCTTCCCAGGAGCATATTCCAAAGATTTATCCCAACTTGATGTCCTACTTTGCATCTCCTATGGGCCAACAACATTAAGTAGCTAATTGAATAAACCAATTAAATTGAAATCTCAACCTCTTGATTAATGTAATGGTGGACACTTTCATTAATGGTGGACACTTTCATTAATGGTGGACATACTAAATAAGTAAGATGTTCAGTAAAGTTGTTTTTTTTTTTTAATTTCACTGATCCCAAATTTTCACCTTACTTGCTTTTCAGGATTATTACAACCTAATGTTTTTAAATTTCCCTCTGGGTGCTGTTTTGGTTGAAACAGCTAAAAGGAGTTATATTTGCAAAGAGCACTCCCCTACGCTTACCTTACCTTCTCTTGACATGTATACCATTCTCTAGCTACTGCCAAACACAAATGATACCATGTACCTCGCAGATAGACACCCTTTCACCCCTGCAAAACCCAGGCTGCTCTTCCAGTGGCACGGTCTTCCATTCCATTGTGACAATTAAAGCCAGGTCACAGTAGGCTGTACCCAGAACAAATTTAGTTGGCTTTAAGAAAGTATATAGGACAGGTAGCAAAAGAGCTGGTGCAGTGACGGCACAGTGTTGACACCAAACCATGGCTTCTCATGCACTCGCCACCCTGCATTTGCACACTGTGTAGACACAGAGACAAGACTGGGTGAATGCAAAGCCACATCATCATTCAAGGAAGCCCCCAGTTCTAGAATCCCTTCCGTTTTTTTCACCGTGCTTGTACATGGTGTTCAGAGGTATTTGACCCGTGTGCATTCCCCAGTGCAACTGCATCTCGTCAGTACTCAATTTTCCCTACTCAGTAATCTCAACAAAGGAGTACCATTATTTAGTCCAACAACCAATATCTCAGCCAGATTCTCCTGGGTCTAGTATATTCCTAAATATTTCTCAATTTAGTATTTCAAAGAGGAAAGGCCATAAATTCTTTGTTCCAAATCAAAACTAGCTTTTTGTAACTCAAAGATTAAAGCACATCCCTTTACTTTTAAATGCAGTCTTTAGCTAAAGTGAGCTTCTTCATTAAAATAATGAAAACTATATTCAATATTAGCTATCTCTATGCATGGAATATATTGAATAGAGAGGATAACAAAATCAGCCGATACAAATGGATGTTGTTGACTCAACCAAAGTGACTTTACTCCCAGTTGAAACCCCCCACAGTGGTTCTCAAATATCAGAAACTCGCATTAGGCATTTGTTTGTCCGTAGCCCACAGGTTTGTGCCAAATTAGGTTCCTGCAGTTTAGAGTGAAAGCTCCTGTCAGCTGTGTTAATCACTTTCCTTTATCAGAGCTATAAGTCATCACTCTCACCGCTGTATGTAGTTTCGGAGAGTCGTGATATTTGCCTCCTGCAGCCAGGTCTAAATCACTGCGGAGAGAGGCAGCTGCTCTTTCCCTGGCAGTAAAAATCCTTGGCTTCAGTCCTCTGTGCATATTCTGAGCTTCTCATCTCTGGAGTGCAGATTTCAAAAATATGCCCTTAGCCTTTTGCTTTTGCTTGTGGCTGTATCCAAGGCAAAGAAAAAAAAATCATAAAATCATATATATGATGACTTGAGATATTCTCCTCATAATTCTCAGACCTCTAGTTTGTAATCAGGAAATAGTGACCTATGTGAATAATTTACTAACTTACCTAGTTCTTTATCCCTCTTTGTCTAGCTTCTATCTAAATTCACCATCTGATAAATGATTTATTAAGATTGCTCAGAGTTCTGCTATAAGATATGTGATTTTAGGCTGTACAGCCTGCTATAGTCCTCTACTTAAAGAGATTAAACTTCTTTTTTTTCTCAGTTAAAGAAAGATGGGGAAATGGGCTTAACTTCACTTTAAATCACTGAAAGCCAAAAGCAGTTTTTAAGCACTTTAGTGGAGTCCGTGCCCATTTTTTAATACAAAGAAAGAAACTCTTTTCTAAAACCTTAGGAATGAATTAATGCAGAGCAAGTAGATGCACAAGGAGCCTCCATTTCCTACATTTAAAGATGTTTTCTTTGTCCACAGTGACCATGGCTACCTCTGAAACAAAGAGCCTAAGGCCTTGACATCCAGGTCATTTGTTTTCTCTAGTCAAACTCGGAGCACCTGTTAGAAAAATATGTAATACCCTCTGTGAGCCTCAGTTTTGCCTGCTTGGCACTTCATGCTTATTGATGAAATGCAGCTAGCTGTGTAATGAAACCCAAATAAAAAAAGCCTTAAGGGCTCTGTTCTAATACATTGTTTATGCTGGAGTGAAAATTGACTGCACATCGCTTGGTTTGTGCAATTTACTCCTGAAATATTCCTATTCAGGAAATCCTGCAAATAGCAATATTCATCTTGAAAATCACCTCACAGAACCCTTAGCAAGCTGAGAAACACAATCAATGAGATCGTGATGTAGAGGGTGAAAATGAGGTCTAATCACAGCCCTTTCCCTTCAGTCAGCCCAGTAGAAGTCATGCTTTGACTTCACATTTTTAAATGTACTCTCAATTTAGACATAAAATATGTTGATTTCAGATTTCAGAAATGATATTTAAATGCTAAGAACCAGGGACCCGTTAAAATTTCTATAAGAAGTCTTTTGTTTTTAATCTTTAATGAATGGTTTCAATAATGAGCTGTAGGTATACTATTTCTCTGACATAAAACTGCATAACTACTGCTTCCTAAACTTTTTATTAAAATATGAGGGACTGGGACACATAATTTTTTGTTAAGTCTTACTGACTGAAATGATTTCACATGGAAGACAGGGAGGGTTCTTTTTCTTCCCCTCAAGAATGACTTTGCTTCTGTGGCCTATAAATAACATAAATGCTGGTATGCTGGTTCTTCCTTTCCATGTAAGAAACTTAATTGCCCATAATGTCAAATTCACACAGAAAACTACCAAGGGACACAACTGGTGTGACTGAATGATCAAGTACCACGTGAGTGACATGAGCACAAAACCCTTTCCTTTCTTTGTGTACTCATGCTGCTATGTTGTCCAAAAAAAGCCATATATACATACGTGTGTGTGTGTGTGTGTGTGTGTGTGTGTGTGTGTGTGTGTATGGCATCGGATAACTAAATAGGCAAGGAAAACTTTAGTCAAGACTGAAGTCAACTCCCCTGAAACAAAAGGCAGGAAGGATTTTAATCATTGGGATGAGCTAGTGTTAAAGTACTGGAGGACATTGGTGCGGGGTTGGTCATTGCGATTTGGCCATCTGTGTTTGCTATTTGTCACTTACTGAACATAGGCTACTCTCCTCCCTCCCGCTGAGTATGGTAGATGTGGTAGCCTTCCTGATATTTATATTTCAATGGCATGGCTGACATAGCAAAGGAAGACATTGCTAAGTTGTAGAAAACTTATCTCTCAAAGGGGCAGAAAAAGGAATTTATAATGGAAAGTTTTCTGAAGTAAATACACTAAGAAAAGAGAGTTCAGGCCTATAATTAGGAAGAAACTAGCCTAATCCTTTAGTCAACCTTAAGGAGAATGTTAAGGCCATCTTCATTAGTCCCCTATTGTCCAAGGGAAACCAGATTTCCTACTGAACAGCTTAGGAAAGCTACTTCATGTCAATTATTTCCAAAACTTTCTCTTGTTCAAGGACTACTCAAACTGAGCCTGAAACTTCATAGTAGAGGATTTTGCTGGATGGTATGAGCAATCAGGTATTTAATGAGGGGTATTTGCTATGTCAGTAAGAAGAAAAACAAAGATTAATGATTGGAGCAGACTATAAACCCAGTTTCTGAGCCCAGAGGGCAGCCAATTAAGAAGATTCCTAAAGGTTGGGCTAGAAACATCTTTAGATGGTAAAGTGATAAAGGCAGTGGCCATTTTATGACATTTTGAAGGTTCTAGGTGACAGCACAGACATCAGAGAAGTTTTATAAGATTGTGCACAGTCATAGTTATTTTCTGGCGCAGAGCATAAAAGCTGTGTGAGTTCTGATAACCTTCCTGAGTGGCCCATATAGCAGTAGCTCCAGGCAGGAAGGATGTCCATACATAGAGCGCTGTGCTCATGTGTCCTTTGAAGTAGATATCAAGTTATCCAGCTTCAGCTCTCAGGATTTCTTTAGA